GGCCGTAACAACATAAATAACCAATTTTTAAATTTTTGTCTGTCTGTACGGGCTAATCTTCAAATTGACTGAATTGTAATGTCACTTCACGAACAGATAGAGAGCACTGACAGAAGAGAACTAGGCTATCGGAATGGAACCGGAGACCCTTTTTACTGGAAACGAGGCATTGCACCTAAGTTGTTAAGGGTCAAAACGCATTGTACAATTTGATTCTTAATGGGGGCAGATATTTTGTACGTGGTAGAGCCATGCTGCAGCTATATTAATAGTATAGTTGTAGTACGAATCGGTCGGCTCGACCGGAGAAGGACCACGCTCTCACAGAATACCAGCGTAAAATAGCAGTTTAATGCTGCTGTGTTTCGTATGGTGAGTGTAGAGAACCGGAGACCCTTTTTACTGGAAAAGAGGCATTATATCTTAGTCCTCATGGCTGACGACCCATCTGCATTTTAATTCGCAAACGAAGATAGATGTAGATGTCTATGGGCCACGGCGGCCACTTGCCATCGGGTGGACTGTGTGCTCGTTTGTCACCCTTATTCAATAAAGAAATATATTGATGTCTATGAAACAGAAACAGAAACAGAAACTTTTTTATTCAATATAGATTATAAATAATACTTATTGAAAGTCACTCTTTTGTTTGATTACCACTGGTTCGGAAGAAACCTCTGTCCTGGGAAGAACCAGCAAGAAACCCAGCGGGACTTTTTTTTAAATAACAGCTTACAATCATGATGTTACACAAATTAACAACACAACAAATTAGAAATAGCTTGGTAGCGATCACCTCATTTCCAGGGGTTATTATCATCCATAAATTCCTTAATATTATAATAACCCTTTTTATACAAACTTAGTTTAATAAAGTTTTTGAACTTTGAACAGGTCAAACTTTGTATATTTTCTGGAATTTTGTTGTAAAAGCGTATACATCGCCCCAAGAATGAATTACTGACTCGATGGAGTCGAGTAACTGGTACTACTAGCTTGTGTCTGTTCCTAGTATTTACAGAATGAATATCACTTATTTTTGTAAAACTACTTTTATTTTTGTGTACGTACATTACATTTTCATAAATGTATTGAGAGGCCAAAGTTAATATATTAATTTCCTTAAATTTTTGTCGCAGCGACTCTTTAGGTTTTAAATCATAAATTGCTCTTATGGCCCTCTTTTGTAAAACAAATATAATTTCAGAGTCAGCTGCGTGTCCCCATAGCAAAATACCATACGACATTATGCTATGGAAGTAGCTGAAGTAAACTAGTCTAGCTGTTTCAACACTGGTTAGACTTCTAATCTTTTTTACAGCATATGCTGCAGAACTAAGTCTGCTTGCTAGTTTTGATATATGGGGGCTCCATTGAAGCTTCGCGTCTAGTGTGATTCCAAGAAAAATGGTGGTATCTACAAGACTCAGTTTCTCCCCATTTAAAATTACATTAGTATTTAATTGTTTGACATTTGGAGTCACGAATTTCATACATTTTGTTTTAGTGCTATTGGCCACAGCTTTCCCATACCATCAGTTGGACTGTGTGCTCGTTTGTTTTTTCTATAAAAACAAGCATTTCGGTCTCAAAAGCCATCTACAAAAACTTAAAATGATAGTTTTTGTATAGGATTTGTAAAAGTACATAATTTAATTTAATAGTAATACAGTGGTGTTGGGAACCCTAGCTTGCTGCTTGTGCAATTTTTCCACACGTTCTATTTGGTCCGTGACTCACTTAATTCATTGCCCACTTATTCAACAAGTACATTTAAGAGGAAAGAGGAAAAATGCTACAGTGTAAGGTTATTCAAACACATGACATCATCGAGTATGCGACGTTTATGTTTATATTAAAATTTTTATATACTAACTAGCTGTTCCCCGCGACTTCGTTCGCGTGTTAGGGTTTTTATGTTACTGCGCGGAACCCTAATTCTTTTTCTAAAATAAAAGTAGCCTAAGTTACTGCTTGTAACATCAGCTATCTGCCAGTGAAAGTCCCGTCAAAATCGGTCCAGCCGTTTTGGAGATTAGCCGGAACAAACAGACAGACAGACAAAAAATTTAAAAATTGTATTTTAGTTATAAGTACCGTATTTACTTTCATATGCATTTAGTAAAAAACTGTAATTTTGACATTACAAACAGACACTTCAATTTTATTTATTTGTATAGATTAGCTGTTCCCCGCGACTTCGCCCGCGTGTTATTCGGGGTGTTCATTTTTTTTTTGCGTAGAACCCTAATTCTTTTTCTATAATAAAAGTAGCCTAAGTTACTCCTTGTAACATCGGCTATCTGCCAGTGTAAATCCCGTTAAAATCGGTCCAGCCGTTTCGGAGATTAGACGGAACAAACAGACAGACAGACAAAAAATTTAAAAATTATAAAAAGCTGTTATTTTGACATTACAAACAGACACTTCGATTTTATTTATTTGTATAGATAGATAAGGAAAAAATTCTTACAAATTGTTCGACAGAAAGATCATTCTCACAACTAAAGAGATTAAAAAATTCTTGTCGCACCATGATGAAGCAGGAAAGATTAAATGTATTATCACTACTTTGCATTTAAAGTGATTTCCTACGTGAAATCAATTTTGACCATATTATCAGAAATTTCGCTATTAAAAAGTCAAATTACACTATATCAGCCACTAAAGTATCCCTTAAAAATTGTAACAATTTTACTTCAAAATAAAAAAAACAATATAAAATGAAAAACTAAGGCGGCATTAGCTATAAAAATCTAGGGCTCAAAAACGTTAAATCAGGCCCTGGGAATAACCATCTCGTTAACGCTGCGTTAACGATGCAGGTGGCTCAGGGCCGTATTTTGTGGCATTCCTTGGGGGCGGCCTATGTTCAGCTGTGGACTTGTGAAGGGCTGTAATGATGATGATGATGTAACGCTGCACTTCAAATTCCAAAATCGGTGACGGGAACAGAATCTAAGATACTGCGATCATCCTGCAATAGAAGGGACTCAAGTTCAGCAGCAGTGGATTTTTACGGGCTTAAGAAGGTCTTTTGTATGTCCAACATCATTGCAACCATTGTATATTAATAGGCTGTGAGGCATCTTATCTTGGTCCTCGGGGTGACAGTACTTTTGTGGCCCCTTTTGTTAAGAGCTGGAGGTCTACTTGATGGTAAGACTTATTTTCTGCCTAGGGTTCTACACAATGTAGTCGTGTCCTCAAAAACGCAGTGTAACACTGCGTGTGTTACTAAATGTTAAAACAATTGAGAGTCTTTTTTTCTCTTTCAACGGACTGGTATGGTTGTAGCTACTTTGAAATTATTTATTAAATTCATTTGTTTAAAAAATTATTTACAATATGTTGATGCATTACATTTCGAATGCTATAGGAGATTTTATCGGCAGCTTGAGCAAGCAGACTAATACGAGACGATCTCTAGGTGTCTAAGCAGACACAATAACTTGAGGTTCACGCAGTGTTACCAACTCGAAATTTATCTCCGATGTAAATATTATTTCCGAGTTATTTTCTATACTACAAGTGGTTTGAGTTGCGTAAGGTAGTCCCGCCTCTTAAACGTAGTGATTATATTCTCTTTGGTCAGAGCATTAAATAATGTCCATTCACTATTCTTTATTATATTTAAAGAACTCGTTGATAGACTGATGAAAAAAATTGAAGGCATTATCATTTTGCGAATATAGAACCAAAATTTTTCAAAAATTCGAAAAGTTGGTACTTAGATTTTTTTGCAAGGTGGTAGATAGGAGTTAGCTACTAATAGTTGGGAGATCTAACAAAAAGTTGGTAGAGTTGGTAACACTGGGTGCACATTCACATCGCCATCGGAGTTTTGGCGGGAAATTGACCGGCGGCGGTTTGCTGCTCCTGTATTATTGTTTAAATAATGGTTTGAAGTGGACTTTGATATGTAAAAGTGTTGCGATTTTGTGTATTAAGTGTCTACGCATGTGAACTATTAGTGGAAACAGTGAAACAAGTGCTCTGATGGTGATGGATTCTCAAGATAAGCTGTTTGTTTGCATAGGCACCTTTAGATACCATCGCCAACTATCAGCTGTCTGCTGGATCAAGTTGCCGCCAAAATCTCCCAAGAACTGCACAATGTGACGCATCAACATATTGTGGAGCAGTATACTATGAAGGAGTGGGGAAATTACAATAAACCGAATAAAAATACTTAAGACTTGGCCTAAAGGTCTAGATACCAGGCCATAAACTCCAAAAAAAAAAACACATCGCCATCGTCACCTCCATAGATTACTGTATATATACTAGAGGTCACCTCGTTCGACATCGCTTCTTACGACACTGGCGATAATGTAATATGTAAATAGGTAGTGTAACTTCTTTTACGTCGTCACTTAACGCAAATATTATAATATGTCAAAGTATAAAAAATAAAATAATGTGGTTAGAAAGAAAGCACACTATGCCGATAAAAAGTTGTATTTATTGAGTATTTTATCAAATTGTATATTTATATGAAATACAAATTAATTATAATTATTATAAAAAAGTCGTACAAAACATTCGTTACTGTAATAAATTACTAACATGATTTGTTTGAAAATTAATCAATTATTTATTTAATGTCGGTTTAATTTTTCAATAAAAATGTACACAATGTAAATCCTACATCGGTTATAAAGATTTAATATTCAAGTTTTATCTATATTTCAAACGCAAATATTATTGAATAAATTGTCGAATTATACATTACCAAAGAACATAATATAATATATTAAACAGCCTTAAAATATTCACTAATTTTGCTATATTTAACACTGAGTATATTTTTGAAATTTTCACATTGAAAATTCTTTACTTTTTGCATCAAAGTTACATATCGCTTGAGCCACGAAAGTATAAAAAACAAGGTCCAACACACATACCTTCCTTATCTCAAGTACAATAATACAACACACTAGTCACATTTTTACGCTTAGAGCAATTACAGTACTACTGTAATTATATACTCTAAGTCTTTACGCATAAATTTCTATTAAAAACTTGTATCCAGAGCCTCGTTCGCTTTTCAATTTGATGTTGACAAAATTGAATCCCAGACCGCCTCTTGTTATAGAAGGTTCGGCGAGACCATTTTCCATATCTTTTATCGCAATACCTTTTATCCTTTGATCTCCTACTGGATACTCGAAGTACACTTCTTGCTCTCTCTTTATGAATGGAATGCCGGACGATTCTACGTATTGATCGTACACCTTTCTAACAATCCCGCTATGATCATATATTTGTCCAACTATCACACTTTTGCAATTTACAATAGTCAGTATCGCACAAAGTGCTAAAAAAATCTTGTAATCCATTGCGGTATTTGCCGAAGCGTGTGTTAGTTCCAACGCGTACTAAAGACTGATTTGTGTTGTTCAAAAACAATCTCGAGTGAGGCCGAGCCAGGAGGTCAAGTGACACCGATCTCGATTGACTTGATTCATAGAATAGAATACATCGTCGATTAGTTAATGTTTTACATGGAATATTTCTTTTGTTTTCCATTTATGCATATAATATTTATCGATTATTTTACTAACAATGAAATTGTTAATTGCAATTTGAAGCGCTGGTTTACCACGTGCTCGGCGGTAAAGTAAAACATTTTGAGGAAACCCGCAAGTCTGAGAAATAAAAAATAAAAAATGTTTCGAAAACGATTCGTATATTATTAATATAATTATGAATAATATACGAATCACGAACTCATCCGAACAGAAACAGAAACAGAATCTTTTTTATTCAATATAGATTGTAAATAATACTTATTGAAACTCACTCTTTTGTTTAATTACCACTGGTTCGAAAAAAAACCTCTGTCTTTGGAAGAACCAGCAAGAAACCCAGCGGGACTTTCTTTTTAAATAACAGCTTACAATGAGAGGCGTAGCCTGGACTAATATAAACGTGCGCGAAGTTGCATCAGCGAGGCTAAGATGTTTTTAAAAGTACGTCTTTGCAGCGAGGCCCCTTTTCTTTCGTTCCATGGGTCTACCGAATAAATTTATCCTACCTAACATGTATTGACACGACATACGAGGGCGACACTGAAAGTTTTTAGAACTGGCCACTTGTAAACGATATAATAAAAAAATAAGTTCAAATTTTGAAAATGGAACTCTTTGCCAATATTATTGTGTGTATGTATTTTATTAATTTGTCATTTGTTTACGATTTGGCGGCAAATTGAAAATTGTCTGTGTCACATCAGCATGAAATTAACGCGAGAAAATTTACGTACACTGATTTTTTTATGATTTCGATGTTATTTAAGTCAACAAGAAAGATATGATAGACTTCGATTGGCCTTTCACGATGCAGCCCCATCTCGTGTCACTGTTTATAACTGGTTTAATGAGTTTAAACGTGGTCGCACTAATCTCACCGATGATCTGCGTGAGGGCCGGCCATTGATTTAGTCTTGTATAACTCAATGGCGACGGCCTTCTATGACGACGACTGAAGATAACATCAGTGTTGTGCGGCGTGTGATAGGGACTGACAAAAAATGACTTATCAGCACATTTGGACAAGATAAGGCATCGGTATGAGTCAAGTGCACAAAATCCTCCTCGAATATTTAGCAGTCAGGTAGCATTGTGCCCGGTAGATACCTCATAACTTGACAGAGACCCAAAAACTCCGTCGTGTTGATTGGTGTCGTGAAATGGTTCAAACATTTAATGGAGGTGACTCAAATGCTGTGTTCGACATACTTACAGGCTGGATTTATTGTTATGATCCTGAAACTAAGAGACAGTCTGCTGTCTGGGTGTTTCCTTACAACTAAAGTGAAAAGAAGTCGAAGCGCGGGGAAAGAAGATGGTGGTCTCGTTCTTCGGAAGGACAGGTCATTACGCAACAATTGTTTTAGCGGATTAAAAAACAGTTACTGCAGAGTGCTACACTAACAATTGATTGCTATTTGTCTTGGAAAAAGTTCGGGAGAAACGACCTCGCAGTAGGATCCTCCTTCACTACGACAACGCCTCGTCGCACACTGCCAAACAAACAATCGACTACTTCGCGACGTCAGACGTGGAATTACTGGGTCACCTGTCCCTATAGCACCGACCTCTTGAAGGTAGTTTCAAAGGCCTCGCAGTCACATTTAAGGGAGGCTTCTTGCGTGGCCCCAAACAAACACATTTTCACTTTTTCAATGGTAAAAGTGATCAAATTAATTAGTCATCTGTGGTAAAGTCTGGGGCCATCGCAATTTAGGGGATCTTGCGAGGCCCCTTTAAGTGTGAGGCCGTGGGCGAGGGCCCACTTCGCTCACACGTAGCTACGCCACTCTTACAATCATGTATGTAACACAATTAACAACAAAAAAGAAATTAGAAATAGCTTGGTTGTGATCACAATAGTAGGATTATTATCATCCATAAATTCCTTAATATTATAATAACCCTTTTTATACAAACTTAGATTATTAAAGTTTTTGAACTTTGAGTAGGTTTTGTATATTTTAATGTTAAGAAAGTTTTGGTGGATACAGCCACCGAAGTATGTGGTGTAAGTAAGAGAACGAATGAAAGGAAAAGTAATACGTTGTGGATGAGGTACGGATGGAAGTTAAAGCAAAGAAGAGAGCATGGCTAGATTTACTAGCAACCAAAGCTGGTGATTCTGGCGGTATGAATGATGAGATTGAAAGAAAAAAGGCAGACTTTAGACGTATAAATAAGAGAGTAAAAGAAGTTGTTGAAAGGAAAAAGCAAGAAAGGATAGATCAGAATGATAGAAGAATATCTGATAACTTCCAGGCAAAAATTAAAATGTTCTGGAAGCTCGTAAGAACTGCCAGGGGAAATTCAAAATAGCCTAGAATGAATGCTATACGAGACGAGAATGGCTGCATGCTGAATGATGAAGTTTCGAATTTAAAGAGATGGAAGAAATACTTTGAAAGCGTGTTTAAGAGTGAAGAGTTGTCTGAAGTAAGTCAAATAGAAATTCCGGAAGAAGTGGAGAGAGGTAGGGAGATAAGAAAGCAATGAAAAGCATGAAAGCAGGTAAGGCAGCCGGATATGATAGAATATCACTCGAAATGCTAAGGGCTGGAGAGGGTGTGGTTGCAGGCCTGCTGTATATCTTGTTTAATTTATGTTGGTAACTGAAGCGAGTACCGGAAGACTGGTGCAAAGCCGTTATAGTCCCAATATATAAGGGAAAGGGCTCGCAGCAGGACTGTAAAAACTACCGTGGTATCAGCTTGCTTAGCATTGTGGGTAAACTGTATGCTAAGGTGTTAACTGAAAGAGTTATGGAAGAAACTGATGGAAAAATTTGGAATGTGCAAGCAGGATTTAGAAAGGGGATGGTGTGTACGGATCAAGTCTTTTACATACGCATGATTGCGGAGAATTTTTTGGCCAAACACCAGAAAGATTTTGTGCGTTCATGGACTTGGAAAATGCTTATGACAGAGTGGACAGGAACGTGTTATGGCAAACACTGACCTCATTTGGGTTGAGCGCTGGTCTGATACAGGCATTAATGTCTCTAGTGCTTGTGTCAGGATCAACGGGGCCTACTCGGACTGGTTTGGCATTCAAAAAGGTGTCAGACAGGGCTGTGTAGCTTCTCCATGGCTGTTTAACATATTTATGGACAGTTGTTTGCAAACTTTGAAAGTTGAGGAATGTGGGTTGAGAATGGGTGAGTTAACCGTCAAATGCTTTTTGTACGCCGATGATCAAGTCATATTTGCATCGTCTGTTACTTTAATGAACTGTTCATTAAAAGAAAGGGGTATGAAAGTGGACGCAAGTAAGAAGAAAGTGAGATACTTTCATATAAAAGTAGAAACGTTATTTACTCGTATTTTCAAAAACTGTAATAACGGTATATTATTGTTTAGATATTCGATAATTTTAAAATTTGCCTACTATTTGAAAAATAACCATGCATAATATAAGGATATTTAATAATAATAATAAATGGAACAGATATCTAAAAAGTTTTAATAATTGAACTTACATACACTTGTCAGAAATAAACAATGTCATCAAACAATCATTTTCTTCCATGGTTAAAAAGAAAATAATTTTTTTGAATGGTGTAAACCTCCACCCAGAAATTGTAGCCACGTAAGACACTTGGACTGTCCAGTTCAATAGTCACAAACGTATCACCGATCCCTCCTCCTTTCACATAACATTCCCCCCATTTATCTTCTCTGAGGTCTAGAACTTTTATAGCATTTATAACTTCGTTTTTTGTACAATTCACTGTGAAAGTTTCCGACCTCACCCAAATAGCCGGATTTTCTTGGTATACTTTACTGTAAATCAATTTAGAGGAAACGTCTGGATACCCCAGGAACAAATCATGTGAATTCGCTACAGATAATAATAACAACGATACAACTGTCAAAGTTCCCGCCATTTTTATAAATACGACTGATGCTCCGCGTGGTGAACGAATAAATGTTGGAGAAAAAGACGTGGATCATTACACAGTTTTGTGTATTTTAGTATTTAACAGTGATATGTGAATATGTCATTGCTGTGAATTGATGTTATAATTAACACGCGGAAGTACAGAAGGTGGTAAGTTTTCGTTAAATTACGTTACTGTAATGGACAAGAGGCCTGGTCGACAATAATTACAATTGAAATCACAAACATATTTCGACAACTAGACCGACTTAACTAGCTTTATATCTACCGACTTCAAAAAGGAGCTGGTACTCAATTCGATTGTATGTTTTTTTTTTATGTGTGTTACCTCATAACTTTTACTGGGTGCACCGATTTCAATGATTCTTTTTTTATTTAAAACTTGGTGCGTCACATGTAGTCTCATATAAATTTGATCCAGGTCTGACCAATAGTTTTGAGTTATTTTTAATAATAAAATCAAATCCAAACCCAAGTATGCTGTTGCAAGACTTCAAATACTGTAAGCTCGTGCTGCATAGATCAGATCAAACATTATTAATTAAAAGTTAATGGTGGTCTCCGTTAACTGTAACATCAGGACGTCAAACACCTCATTCCACCCCATGGCCATGGGTTCTATGATGTGCCCGAAAAGTCAAGAATTAAAAAAGTTAAAATTAAACACGATAAAATCCTTAAGATTAGTTTTATTGCAAATTAAGTTCTATTCACAGTGAACGTGGGAATAACTACACTTATGAACTGGCGGAAGAGAATCCGCTACGTCATATCGTCCCGAGCGTGTCTTAAGAGGCGACAGAGGAAAACAAACAGGAGATGGGCAACGTCATCTTCCTGACAACAGTTCAAAATAATAAAAGCTGCGGTTGCCAACCCGCCTACATACATGTCACTGCCCAAAAAGT